ACTACAGCAATAAATTGTCCACAAAAGTGTAAAAAGTTGATTTAGAATGTGACTATCATGTTGTGTTTGAATAAACCTTTTTCCCACTAGATCCAATTCACCTACAAATCCTTCAAGAAATCAAGAGCTCAGAAGATGGAATTTTAAAATCCAAATTGGCAGAAAAATTGAAGCTCCACAAATTACACATTGAGATTTTACTACAGGATTAAGGAAAAGGGGCCTATAACTAAAGAAAAACAAAATCTTAAATCTAAGTTCCAATAGTAGCTCCACAAAATCAAAGTAAATAGGCATAAAAATGGAAATTAGGTTGTCTTGTAATTAAAGGCTGCTATTATTTAAAAAAAAGATATTTTTCTCATACATAGGATAATGGGAAGACTTACATGAACCGATGCAAAGCAAAGTAAGCAGAACCAGGTAAACAATATACAGAATGTCTATACCAATTTAGATGGAAAACACAAAAATAGCAAAACTGAATGTCGTGAAATTATAATGACCATGCTTGGCATAGAAGAAGAGAGTAAAAAATTCACCTCCCTCCCTTTTTTGTAGATTTAGAGGATTTAAAAATGTGGGACACTGCACAGACCATTAGACTTAGCCAACATACTGGCTCATTTTGCCAAACTGTTTTTTTTTTCTCTCTTTCTTTTTTATGCTTTGTTACAAAAGATGACAAGATTTCTCTAGAAATGAAGATGATATAAAAACAGAAGATGTCAGTAAATATTTTTAAAAGATATTTTTCTAGTGATGACATATGAGATTAAGTTATGAGGTAACAGTCTGAAGAATTAAAGTTGATGCTAACTGACCCCAAATGGCAAAGGAGAGGTATGTGGTGGGTACAAGTAGGCTGCAATACATTAACAACACACAATTACATAACAGAAATAGTGGATAGGAAAAATAAAATTGTAAAAAGTAATCAGATATTCAGGAGTACCTGTATGCTCCATTGGTTTATATTCAATGTCTAAAAATAAAGAGAAAAGCTTTCCAGCACAGTAGGTGGACTGCAGGCAAGATTTACGGGAAGATAGGAACAAATGATGCACAGGATAAGAGGTCATAAAAGAGGGTACCTACATCAACAAAATCACAGACCCATCAAGTATATTTAACAAAAAGAGAGACCTGGTTTCCTGTCAATCCACAAAATTAGTCTTTGGAATTCATTCTCATTGCTTATCAAAGTGAATTTGTGACCTATAACAAGGTACATTTATAATTCAAATTAATAAGGACCTCATTTGAATCTTATCAGTTCATTCACTGAAGGGATCTAGAATTCTTTTCTTCCTATTTGCATTCATAAAGTCAGCACACAAAACTCCCTCAACACATCTTCTCTATTACCCTATGATCTCCCTGGGACTCTGAAAATAGTATTCATTCATACCACCATCTAATGAATCACTAATATTAGTCCCTAATTCCCTTTTAGTTTCTCTTGATCAGATTCTCACAAGTCAGATTCCCCCACTGAACTAATTAATATTGACTGAATTAATTAATTCCTAGTACAAAGTAATATACTATAGGTTGTGTTCCAAACTTTAAATAATTCTTTCTCTCTTGCTAGAGAGAGAAATATTGAAAAAAATAAATATTATAATATGAATATAATCACCCAAATGTCTTTGCTACCTGGGGCTACATTTATTCAAATCTTCATTCCAAGAAAAACTCAACTGCCAAGACTCTTCCCTTCACTTATTGCCCTAGATGTACATTTACCTCATTATGTGTACATAATGTAAATAATGTCAATTTTACTTACGTAGTTCTTTACTATTCAATTGTGTGTGTGTATGTGTATGTATGTGTCTGCGTGTGTGTGTGTGTGTGTGTATGTGTATCTTTTCTGTCTGTTTATATTAGGAATAATCTTGCAAAGCTCCTAGAAGACAAAAACCATAAGGTGTCTTGCACAATGCACATGTGGATAAATAGTATTTTTAATAGTGACATATCTATACTTTTTTCACTGGTTCCCATTTATCTCATTTTAGTCATTCTAGTTCTAGGACCAATAACTCATGATTCACATTATTAACTACAGCATTCTAAACCAAGGCTCCTGGTTCAAGAAAACTGGAAAAATCTATTTTTGATTATACTCGAAGACAATAGCTCATGGTTTCTGATAAATGAACACACAAAAGAACATGTTCAGTTTCACAACTCAATAGCATTCACTAAATACATATGATGTGCTTGGTATAGATTACATGTGGTGATACATAAGAATCTGAAGAGACCATCTCTATTCTCAGAAAGCAACGAATGGAATAAAGAACAAATATATAGGAAAATGATACAAAAACACAAGGAGATACATAAACAAGATCAAATGAGAAAGCTGTATACAATCATATTTACAAATAATACAGTACATGGATGGTAGCTCTATGTTACCTAATGGTTCTTCTAACTCTTTAAATCTTGGGGAAAATATTAATGCTGTATTTGTTACCTCAGTCATGAGACACAGATGGGTAAATTTGACTTTTACATTCATAACTGAATCTGAAAATATCTTATCTTCCCTAATATAAAAATAGTGATTTGGACAATTGTGGTACTTAGTTATAATTTCTAAAGGAGCTAAAGCTAATAGTTGGGGGTTTTTTCCATTGATGAATATTTCATTTATATGGTCAAAAGACAGCCATGTTTGAAAATTAATCAAAAAGCTTCTAATAGAGGTAGGACTCTAGGTTTTCTATAGTATTCTATAAAACTGTATGTTTTTCTACTTTTACGTATCTTCTAATAAATGTATTAGATTTTAAAAGTTGGTACTTAGAAATGCCCAAATTATGACTTATAGGAGATTTTAACTATGAGGCCTTCTTACTTCAATGGAATGGCAGAACAAAATTCTTCACTTGTCCCCTGCCCACAAATCCATCTATTCCTGCCACAGGTTCTCACATATTCACATGAACTCTTGCTTACAACCTCTCCATCCAGGCTTTCACTCTCCTCCCTCTCCCTTCCCCCTCCTTCAAATTTAAAAGGGAACCAGGCAGCAGCCTTGAAAAGAGTTACTTCATGCAACTTGATAATAGGTCACATATTCCACAGGAAAGGATTTAGGTAAAGCAAAGAACAGAAAATTAGGAATTCTGTATACAGGTATTAACTAAATTATTAACTAAAAAGTTTAAGTATCCAGGTAACAGGTAAAACAGACAATAAAATGCCAGAGTTTTGATAGGATGGAAACATTTTTTTCCTCAAGCTGTAGGCTACACAACTCTTGGCTCCTTCTCAGGCACCTACAACAAATATCCAAGAAAATGAGAATCATTCCAAAGCTTTGGGGGAAGGAAAGGAGATAAACATTGTGCGTGTGTGTGCGTGTGTGTGTTTTGTTTTGTTTTGGTGAGGCAACCGGGGTTAAGTGACTTGCCCAGAGTCACATAGCTGGTGAGTGTTATGTGTCTGAGGCCAGATCTGAACTCAGGTCCTCTTACTCCAAGGCCAGTGCTCTATCCACTGCACCACCTAGCTGCCCCAAGATAAACATTCTTGCCAAGCATTTTGATCATGCAGGGGGTCTCTGAAACAAGAAGGGTGGAAAGAAGGGGAAGAAGGAAACTCCTAAATATTTTGCCCACCATATTCCCAGAAAGTGTAGCACTCTTTACAAGATGCCTTTTTGAGGGGGAAGGAATGGGAGGAGAGGAAGGAGAAAAGAGAACAGATGAAGAGAGGCTGAAGACAAGGGGGGCAGGGAGAGAAAGAGAGGGGGTGCAGGGAGCATACATTATACATCTTAGGTCAAGCAAGGGAAGTTTCACTTTTCTATACTTTATTAGGATGATTTAAAAATATTTCACTATGGCAAAGAACTCACAAAAATAAAAATGTCCTAGATGACTGCAGAACAGTTCTTATACTTTTTGACTCCTAACAAATTGAAAATCAAATTTTTATCATACTTAACTTTCAAAAGCAATTTAATCTGGCATCTTAAACCTAAATCCAAACTAAAGTCTTTTAAAAGACTCAAACAACATTGAAGCTATTGGTATCTATCCAGAAGAAAAGTTCTCAAGGAGGCAGCCTTTATGCCAGGTCAGATCAGAGCCAAAGAGGAGAAAAAAGAGACACAGGGCATATGAGTTTGGCTTTATGACATATATAAAGACCTAAGTTAAAAGGCTTCTCAAGTAAAATAGCCTTGCCCTAATTCTGTAGAAATTATCATTATAGAATCATATTAACATCCCCTGGGCAACAAAGATTATGGGATATCTTATTTTGCATTTGATTTTTGAGATCAGTTCGAATTTAGAACTTTTTCCAGTTTGAAAGACCACTGGCTATTAGGCTTACAAATAATAATAAAGATGATGATAATGATGATGACAGTAGCTAGGGTTTATATGGTGTTTAAAGCTTTACAAAGTTTTACAGATATCATCTCATATACACATTCTACATAAATATGAAAAACGAATTCTAGAGCAGAACCCAGAAATATGAGCAGAAAATCTTGCAAAGACCAGAGATTTCAAAGTCTTTTGCAGAAATAAAAAAACAAACCAACCCCAAACTGCCATATTTAAAAACAGGGTTATCTCCACGATAACCTTGAGGGCAGGCATCCAGGACTCTGTACATAATGGAATCTAAATATATGCTACTGAATGGTAATTGTTGCTAAAGTTTTTACTATGTCAAGATACTAAAATAAGACAGCAGACCTCCTAGTAACTAGCTGTTGGCATGAGACTACCACATAAGCTGAATAAGCAGACTTTTAGCTTCAAAGTACCTGCTGAAATGGAGGCAGGTAACTTTTGACAATGAGCTGAGTGGAAGCAAAACCCTCTTTCTCCCATATATACTATGCAATGCTGATCTCAGAAGTAACTGCTCCTATGGAAAAGTAAACATATTCTTTCCTAAGACAGAAAGTCAGGAAGAGATGACCTAGAGCAAGAAGAGAGATTTGCCATCTGCTTTCCACTTACACTGTTTATCAAGTAGACACCACGTCCCCTGGAAGAGGCCACAGGTTTTACTATCCAAGGTCCCCGGTCCTTTGAATAGGAATCTGTTCAAAACATTGCAAAGGGAAAAGACAGATCATAAGTTTACAGGTTTGTGAATGTTCAGCAAAGGATATCCAGGTGTAAAGGACATTTCTCAAGTCTCTAAATGGAGATCAGTAGCTAAGAGAATGTTTCTTTTTCAACCAACTGAAAAACAATTCCTTTTACTTGCATAACCTCTTATCTCATCCCCTGATACTTTCATTCTAAAATACAGGAAAGAATTATGCAAACAACTACATCTTAATCTGCCACCCAGTTCAGTAAGTCATCATCAGTCCAAGATTCTTCTTCCACTTACTAAAGAACAGTAACTTGATCAGAGTTGAGAAATGGGGAAAGTTCATCAGAATATAGATCAATGAGTATTTCACTCCTTCGCTTAATGCGAAAGAATTCTGTAAGTAATGTGTGTTTGTAAACTAAAATAAACTTTAGGAAAATGGGTAAAAGATGCAGCTTTGTAAGTAACCTGGTATTTTCCCTTTCACAGGTGCCCTCAGGCATTCTGCATACTGTAGTTGTACTTGGTACTTGCCCTAGAATGGAGGGGGAGGGGGGAGAGGAAGTGAGGGGGAGGTAGTTCACAGTACCTTCATGGGAGCATTTGAGAACCTCAAATGTTATGCCAGGTGGTTTTCCATTGGTTCAGAGGTGCTTTGGGGGGTGGGACCTATGGCTAAGTCCAAGGGAGGCAGACAAATGGGGATCAATGACCAGGATCAGTACTACCACTGGCCACCAAGAAAGGAATGGGGAACCTTCACTTTCCTCACTCTAGCCTACTAACAGCCCAAGGATGGACCAGTAGCATAAGAAGTCACAACAGAGGAGTCACCGATCATCCTTTCTTCTAATACATTCCTATCTCCCCCACTGCCCACTTCCCACCAGTCCATCTGCCCTGCCATTGCCACCTAAGGCCATAGGGAATTTGTCATCTGCCCTGGTATTTTTTCTAGAAGAACCTAAGTACCAGTTGGCCTTTCGAACCCTCCATTATATATAGTCTCACCCAATTAGAATGTGAGATCCTTGAGACTGGAGATTATTCCAGTTTTCTGTTTGAATCCTCAGTGCTTGACATACCGTGAGTACTTAATAAATAATTTTGCATTCCACTCCATAAAAAGAGATGGAAGCAAAAGGACAGGAACAGATTAATAGACCTTCTCAACCCATTACCACAGCCAAGAGTATTAAGAAGCTGCTCCTTTAATTTAAGCCTTTGTTTGCCCCTTCTACCATGCAGAAAGAAGTCCCTAAAGGCAGCAATGGTTATCATTTCAAAGTAAGAAAAAAGGGGGTATATGAAATTATGTGAGGAATAAATTTTTCTTGATTTTCTTCTCCATATGAATGAGAAATGAAAAAAAAATACTGTCATACCCCTACATAACATCACCCTAAAAATTAAATATGTTGTAACCAAATTCCAACATAAACTAACAAAACCAAGGACTAGCCAATTGTTCAAGACTCAAATCATAAGATGAATCCACACTAAGATCTGAATAAACTTCCCTAGGTATCCAACTACTTGCCATGCCATTTAGAGCACTGTCCCTGAAAAAATAACTGCCCTTTGGTAATGTTGTTTCATCTAACATGAGGTTTTCACACAACCAATTTGCAATCTTGCATGGTGTTCATCTGTGTATAAATAAACACAGAGGTAATCATATTTCAGGGCCATTAACCCTAAGGCAATGTCAACACTTTACTAAGTCCTGTGAAAGTTTTCCTTCATTCCAACAAGTAGACAAAGTTACTGAGCAATAAATTAATGTCTTTTTACCACTATATCAATATCAATCAACCAATTAACATTTATTAAGTGTCTGACATATTAATACGTCACAATGAAGTTTCCATATAGTTCAAGTTTCAACTCGTCTCCTTTATGGGCTGTTAGAGATGGCCTGCCTATGACCTTCAAAACTTTCTCCTTTTCCTTCTCTACCTAAAATAACCTCAGCCTCACTCCACCTTCAGTCAGTACCCTGCTAGGCAATCTACCTTTGGCCAGGGCAATATGAGCTCTCTCCTTCGCTCTCCTTCCTTCCTCCAATGAGAAGCCATTCTAGGTCTTCTCTCTCCTGCCCTCGTTACCAGAGTTAAATGTCTTTTCAAAGGTTTTTGCATCTAGGCTTTTCCACCATCAACATAATATGCCAATTTTCATCATTCCGAGTGGCAGAGCACTTCTACTATTTAACCCCATTTTCCATGCCCCCTCTCCCTCTTCCCCTATATGTTAAAGCAAGTTTAGAAATATTGGTGTGTGCCATGAAATGGAAAAAATCTGGGAAGTTCCACTATAAATGACTTGCTCATAATTTTCAAGAAACAACATCAGAGATACAAAATATCTAGAAGTTATTTTGAAGTAGTTGATGTTAGGGTCTATTTTTAACCCTGGCCTTTACATCCCTAATAAAATAGCTATTCCCAGAACCAAGTATCTAAAGCTGGAACTAAGCATGACACTAGGATTTTATATTGCGATTGTCAGTGGAAAAAAAATGATTGTTCCATAGCCATGGCCAAGGCTGGTGAAATATTCTTATCATCAAGTGAAAAGTCTGATGGTTGGTCAGGCAGACCATTAGGAGGAAATAAAGCAGAGACCTGTACTGGGAGGCATAAGTATCTAAACTTATAACAAGTTTTAATACTACCCTTGTAAAATAACCAGATGTCCAATTAATATGACCCAACTTGATCATACTATATAATAAATACTTATGGAACTGCATGCCCTGTCCCTAAACATCCTAAAGGTTCAAAATTCTGTCAGTAAGATCTAATGGTAATCTATAGGAATTCTTAACCTGGGGCACATGACTTTTTAAATATTCAGATAACTGTATTTCATATGTTTGTTTCCTTTCTAACCCTACATGTTTTACCTCATGCATTTAAAAATATTATTTTGAGCAGGGGTCCCTAGTCTTTACCAAACTGTCAAAGGGGTTCATGACACAAAATAGGTTGAGAACTTCTGGGTGAGAAAAACTTCTCATTCATTTAACAAATAATCGTTAAGTACCTACCATACATAAAGGTACTCTGCTAGGTCCTGTATAATTTTAATATAGTATGTGGAGTTTTTTCCTCAGTTCTAAAAGTACTTTCAAATGTTCATGGCAAAATCAATTCTAAGAAGCTATGCCTATTAGTTCTATGAATTTAATTTCCCTAAATATTCATTTGCTGGAAAATATGTGAAAAGTTCTCATGGCATGCCTTCGATTGGGTGGAATTTCACAAGATCTTAAATCTGATCTCTTTTCTGCCCTTCAAATCTTCAATTTAGCAGGGCAATTTTATTATTATGATGTCATAGTTAGTATATATTTAAAAACAAATATACACAACAAAATTTCATATGCAGCCCTCTTTTTGGTCTTTATATTAGAATGTTTGTGTTTTCTTGATGATTAAATTCATAATAAAAAAATTAAAAAAATTTTAAATCTTCAGTTTTGGTGGGCTTGAGAGGAAAAGGTCTGGCAGAAGCTTCCCTAGCCTTATAATCATCTCTGCAAATGGAACACAAATAACCAGAACACATATGATATATGATATGTAAATATGATACATTTACACAGATATGTAAGACATAAAAGCACAGCAGATAAAAAAAAAACACTGATAAAAGACATGTGGTACTTGGACACCAAGGCACATAAATGAAGGACATGAAAAGTTATTCTATGTAGTAAAGAGCCTAAGTGACATACAATGTTAAGCTTATATGTATGTAGCAGCTAGGCAGGTGAATTTGAATGCCCTTACACGGACACTGCAGACAAACAAAACACAGTGACATGCATGAATGTGGTACCCAAAAAGTACATTCAGACATACAGTTTTTTGTATGTCTTTTTTCACATGTACAAAGAAAACCATCACAGTACATAATCCAGATAAAGTTAATTACGTTTTAAATGTTAATCTTGCAACTTCTCTGCCTGGGAACTAAAATTCTTTGAATTTTTCTCTTTTTGCTATAGGCTTGGGATAATCACTGGGGTGATTCTGGCCCAAATGTAATAGTTGTGGACCACAACACTCTCAGTCAATCACTTACTACAGAATTCTGCATACTCAGCTGGCAGGAGGAAGGTCTGAGGGAGGATGTGGAATGCCTTGAATCCATGTGTATGCTGCATTCGAATAATGTTTTTGTACAGTCGGTCCTTCCGGGTTAGTTCATAAGACCTAAAATCATAGAAGTTTTTTTTTTCTTTCTCAGTCAACCGTGTTTTAGAGACTCGCCAGTATACTTATACTCTGAAGGGCTAATAAAAACAGATTGTAGACTTTAGGTATGATAAGAAGATGAGCTCAAATGCATAGTAATAATACTGATTCTCTACCATATTTTAAGGATCATCACCAACTCTGTGCCATTCCCTTATGGGATTTCACACAAATCATGAAGCTAAGATAAATTCATTTGGGATCTAAAGTAATACTATCACACCAACACTTTCATCAGAACCTTCAGACTAATTAATTCTACAATTTTCTCCATTAACTAATTCTCCTTTAAATAGCTTGTACCTCCAATTTACTTCCCAAAGTTTCTATTTTCCTAATTCCTGTCATCCGTAACTAATGCCCTAGGCAAAACTGCTTCCCACCATCCTCTTCCACAAACCTGTATCCCTAAAGAATTGGGCCCTTCTCTTCCCTGGCACCTGTTGTTCACTGCCAATCATCCTTTAGAATCCCTTTGTTAGCATGAATAAATGCTGCTTCATTCCTGGTCTCTTACTCATATACATTCTTTTTCACTGCTCATTATCTAACACCCACCTTTTTCTCCTGGGGACACTACAACCCTTATAACCTCTCCAATGCTGGCCAGTCCTCTCAAGGCTCCTAATTCACACCACCAGGCCCCCACTGCCACTTGGGATCCTAGCATTTAGAACAGGAAGGAACTATAAAGAGCACACCCAGTCCAACCTCCTTATTTTAAAGATAAGGAAATTGAGACCCAGTGAAGTTAGGTAAATTGCCCAAGGACACATTGGTAGTAAGTAGCAGAGATAAAATGTGAGCCAAATTCTTTAACTTCAAATGCAACATTCTTTCTAGTATAACGCTGTGCTCGTTTTCCAGATCTGCTACCTTCAAATCACAGCATATTAATTTATCTGTGTATATCTTATACCTCCAAGTAGAACACAAACTCCATAAAGATAAGAGTGAACTTTCCTATTTGTATCTCCAGCACCTAGCACAGGGCCTTGACCACTTTTTTTTGGGGGGGGGGGACAGGGGGGATGGAGAGGAGGAAGAAAATCTAGGGGGGGAAAACTAGATTCGTGATTTCAAGGAAATTCCCTCCACCAATGTAGACAGCACCAGCTGTCTGGGGCACTGAGAAGTTAGGTGACTTTCCCAAGATAAAAAAACCAGCACATATCAGAAAGAGAACTTGAACCCACGTCTTCCTGATTTCAAGGCTGGTTTTGTATCCATCAAATACCAAATTGCCTCTGGTCTAGCACATGGCAGATACTTTATAAATGATTATTGAACTGAACTGAATTTGTTCAATAACTTTTCCCGCAGAACTTAGGTTGTCCAATTACACCACCATCTCCTGATCCTTGCTGCTACCATACAACTAACCTTTAGCAAACTCTTCTAGCTTCCTCAAGGATATGAACTTGACTCCCCACTCACCTTGCCTGTCATCCTTGGTGACCCTAACGTCCATGTGAACAGCTTTTCTGACCCAATGGTCTCATACTGCCCCATCTTCTTCAGCTCCCATGACTTTTGTCTTCACCTACTCTTCTGAGCCCACACACTAGAGTCCCATTTTAGACCTCACCATCAAATCTGCCACAGTTCCAACCCTAAAGTCTGAAATTCCCCTCTATATAATCTTCTAACTTGTCACTTTTTCTCATCCTGCTAACTTGATCTTCAGCCTTAAGGTAACATCTAGTCTTTAGATTCCCTTTCTTTCCTCCAAGTATATCTACCCTATTCTATTGTCACTTCCCTCACATCAAAGTCTTCACCAAAATGATGAAAAATTTTAACACTGCTTTCTATTCCCCCCTCCCCGCATTCCTCTTTACCTTGTCCTTCTGTTGCTCCTCTCCCTATCCCAAGGAATAACCCAACTCATGTAATGCCCATCATCTACCTTCTCTGCTCCTACTTCCAAACACTTCTGGAGCATGTCAACTAGGTCCAATATAAATTTATGTTTTCTAATCTCAATTGGTCCCCCACTAACTATAGCAATATTGTATTCTCTTAAATTCCCTATCACATTGAGACAACTAATTTCAAACTTTTTCTTCTTTCTTCAAACTACCAATCCCTCCCCTTTCCTTTCTCTCAATCAGCAGAAAACTTTACCTTCTAGTTATTAAAAAGATCTAGGTAATCCAACATGGGTTCCTTCGCCACCAAATCTCTACTTCTAGCCCATCTCAGAGGACGACACGGTCAATCTGCTATCAAAGCTAACCATTCCACAGAGACCCCTTTCTTCCCTTTGTTCTCCGTTCCTTCAATTATTACTTCCAAATGTTAGACTGGAGTTTAAATCCGGATTTCATATATTTACTAGCTGTGTAACCTAGGGCTAGTCACTTACCCTCTCTAAACCTTAGTTTCCTCATCGGTAAAAGAGGAATAAATAAACATTAACATCTACCTCACAACACTGTGAGGTCCCAATGAGATATGTAAAGCACTTTGAAAACTTTAAAGCACTATGAAAATCCCATTATTATTCATCTTCAATCTTTCTAGCTCTTCCTTGTTCCTACAAATATACTCAGTTCTCCCTTATCCTTAAAAAAGTCTTCCTTTAACCTTAATATCCCCTCAACCAATCATCTTCTTTCCTACCTTCAAAAAGCCCCTTTATCATCTCCGCATCTCTTTTTTTCTACATATTCCCTCATCTATCTAGTTATATGATTTCTATTATCATTGTTATGAAAATAATAGTACTAATTATAGCTAACATTTACATAGAGCTTACTATGTGCCAAGCACTATGCTAAAGACTTCATAATTATTATCTTACTTAAGGACTCTGATGGCTCACCTAAGTACCAGTATCACACTTGCCAGGGCACTGGATATCTCCACGTAGATGTTCTGGTCACTTCATGCAACGTATACAGAACTGACCTCCTCATCTTCCCTCTAAAGTCTGCCCCTCTTTCTAATGTCTCTATTTCTGCTGACAGCACTGCTATCTTCCCAGGCATCTAAGGATCAACCTTTCTGGGTTACTGTGGATTCTTTCCTCTTTCCCCACCCCCACACTCCCATCCCGTACACCGCCTTCTTTGAGTCCCAACTAAAATTTCACCTTTTACTAGAAGCCTTCCCTCACTCCTCTTAATTCTAGCACCTCCCCACTGTGAATTATTTCCTCCTTATCTTATATAGAGCTTGCTTTGCATATATTTGTTTGCATGTTGTCTCCTCCATTAGACTGTGAGCTCCTTTAGGGCTCGGACTGCCTTTTTGCCTCTTTTTGTATCCCTAGCACTTAACACAGTGCCTGTCACACAGCAGGTGCTTAATTATTGTTGACTGATTGACTGACATAGGATTTAATGGTAGCAGAGACCTCAAAAATCCTCTAGTCTAACTTACCTCATTTTATAAATGAGACAAGTGAGACAAGTCACACAGTGACTTATTTATGACTTTTTCTATAGGTAGTCTGAATCTATTATTAAGAAAGTATAACATAAAGTCAATCAATCAATCAACATTTATTAAGTATCAACTATGTGCCAAACACTGTGCTAAGCCCTAGGGATGCAAAAAGAGGCAAAGGAGGGCAATGAGGTGGGGCAGTAACTAGAGCACCGGCCTTGGAATCAGAGAGGACCTGAGTTCAAATCCGGCCTCAGACACATAACACTTGCTATCTGTGTGACTCTGGTCAAGTCACATAACCCCAATCGCCTCACCAAAAAAAAAAAAAAAAAGAAAGAAAGAAAGAAAAAGAAAGAAAAGGATGACCTTGATCAGTTCAGGGCAGCTAGGTGGTGCAGTGGATACAGTGGCCCTGGAGTCAGGAGGATCTGAGTTCAAATCCCACCTCAGACACATAACACTCACTAGCTGTGTGACTCTGGGCAAGTCACTTAACCCCAACTGCCTCACCAAAAAAAAAAAAAGAGGCAAAGGACAGTCCCTGCTCTCAAGAAGCTCATACTCTAACAGGGGACACAACATGCAAACAAATAAATGGACTTAGAATTACAAGACCTGGTTCTGACACTGGCTTCATGACCATGGGCTGAGACTCAGTTTTCTATCCATCAAATGGGAATAACACTTGTATTATTATCTCAAAGGGAAAGGGAAGAATTGTATAAACCATAAGAGCATTTTAAAATGTGATGCCATTATTATTAGATTTTTTTTAAATCTAGGACTATGATTTCACTGGTGTGGTTAATTCCTGGTACAGAGCATAGTCCCTAAGATGCAGACCAGTAATTCACATATGATATATAATCTTAGGCAGGCGCCTGGGGGATTGAGAGGTTCAGTGACTTGCCAATGGTCACAAAGCCAAACTACGTTGAAGGCAAGACCAGTGCCTGGGGCTATCTAGCTCTCCACTATGTACTACTGCCTCTCATTAAATATCATACGTGAATTTGGGGAACCAATGCCAAGAGTACCAGGTGTTCCAACTCTTCTTACAACTCTAAAGGACGAATTATATGGAATTTACACCTAAATTAAAACATCATGGGTCTGAGACATTTCTGGGAAGAAACTGGATCTCTAGCTTTACAAAGTATGCTACTCCTATGCCGAGACACAAACTTCATTTTCTTTTTCTTTGAAAACAGAGAACACTGTTTTCACAGGGGGGAAGCACAAATTATGATATAATTCTGGAAAATGGTAGCAATGAATTTTTTTTAAACTAACTCTCCCTCTCTTGCCCAGGCTGGAAGTTCAGTAGCCACTCAGAGGCCTAATCCCATTACTGATCAATACAGAAGCTTTGACCTGCTCTGTTTCCAACCTAGGCCAGTTCACCCCTACTGAGGCAGCTTGGTGGCTCCCCTCTCCTAGAGCCTTGACCGTATTAGTGCTGGACTTAGTACAGACACGTTATTGACTTTATCCCACTGCAGGCTGATCTCCAGCACTCTGCTAGCCTCAGCCTCCTCAGTAGCAGGGATTACAAGCATGCAACACCAAGCTTAGCAGCAATTATCTGCTGAAATTTTTTAAACTAGGATGTGATAACAAACATTGTGTGTGTGTGTGTGTGTGTGTGTGTGTGTAAAATCATTGGAAGCTCATAAGAACACCAACTATAAAACTCCTGTATGAGACCAAGCTATAAACAAGATATTATAAGGAACTTATAACCTAAACAAGACAAAATGAACCCACTCTATACTCAAATCTAGACTATAATGCCTATAATGAGATCTGTCATAGAGAAGCTCTAAGGGACTAGGGAAGAGAAGTGCTACATGTACCCTGTGGGAAGTTCAATAATCCACTTTGACAACATGGAATAAAAATCACTGGAGATTTTTGAAAATCAGAATCTAACTTTTGAAAATTATTAGCCTAAAGTAGTACTTACATAAATTACTCCAGTATTTAACATCTAGTTACAGAACACAGCCAGGGCTAGCCCTGAACAAAGTCACCTCTGACATTCCCAGTTTTGCTGCTCTACAGCCCCTTTTCTCTCTTAGTGAAATTTTGTACCACCCAAGTACCTCAGTTACAGACTTCTCTCTACCATCCTCCTTATCAAAAGTCACACTCAGGAAAGGATCAGAAGCTCATTCATGCTAAGGTATGAAATAGGTTGATCACAGCTGTGTATGTAGTAATGTTCTTCTCTCAGAACATTTTTACTGAAGACAACAAAACCTTAAACTAAATGAATGAAAGGAATAGAAGATCTTTCTGAACTCACTAAAATTATAACAATATGCATGTGTATATCTACATACATATGTAGATATATATATATATATATATTATATATATATACACATATATGGCATATAATTTGTGTGCATATTTATACAAACCATACATATGTATAATTAGCCTCAAATAGCATCTTGCTAGAACAAGTTCAACTTGTAAACACGAGTCTTACATATTCTGCCATTTTCTGCTAGTTCAGATCTGAAATTTCTAAATACTTGTTTTCAGCTGTATCAGTGAAAGGCCTTAAGCTCCTTTGCCTGTGACGTGTTCATAAGCAAAACAAGGAAGTTGGGTATGATGCCCTCTAAACCTATTTCAGTCCTTAGACTCATTGGTTTTTTTGCTCAGTCACCACTCAAAAGCCATCCAGACAATCTTAGTTGAAGACCACTAAATTAATTCCATTTTTATTACAATTGAAATTTTTATTCTAGTTCCCTGAACCCAAAGGCTTCTTGAGTAAATCCTGGTCCCACAAAGTTTCTTTCCCTGGGGCAAGTAGAGAAGAGAGCACAGGACTTGGTCTGCTCTAGATGCCCTACATCAGGAACGACTTTTTTCAAGACAGACTGTTTTCTCTATTTCCCCCTGTGCCTAAAAGCAGCTAACTAAATGAAGTTAAAAGTGAGTGCCTAGTATTACCTGGGAAAGTGATTGACCTTTTGCATTTCAGAGAGGGTACGAAGTAAGAAGGGCTTCAGATGGGATCCTGTCCACATGAGGTTGTAGTCAGTGCTGCTTGGATGAACCTAAGGAACATATAAGGAAAAGATAAGAATACAACCTAGCCTGCTTCTAGGGGGAACAATAGCTAACTGATGTAAAAAAAAAAAAGAAAATTGCTGTTTGTCATCCACCCAGAAAGTACAAGAAACAGTGTTGCCAGGAGTGAGAGTCCTGCTTGTCTCAGATGAGGCTGGAAACTGGTCATACAAAATAGACATTTCAGAGTGGAAATATGAAGAATAAGTTTCAAAGAAAGGGTTCAGGTAAGAGAGAATCAACCAACCACAAAAATAAAACAAGTAGACATAAATTGGTCCTCATGTAACAAATCATAAAGGTACCAGTCTCTCATTCTTTCTCTAAAAGAATGGAGATAAAGTTACCACCACCATCTCCCTAATTCCTTTTCAGAATAATTTCATGCTCCTGTAACCATCTGCTCTTAAGTACAAGTCATTATCACACCCAGAATTCTTCAGAAGCAAATGAACTTACAATATAAACTATTATCAATCATGGTCAAGACCTCCACCAAAATTTCCATTTCAGACTCTAGGTTAGTCTAAAAGCAGAAAAATTAGAGTCATGAAGTTATTCCCAAATAGCCTATTCCTTTATTGGGAAACAGCCTCTAAAAAAAGGCCAAGAAAATCCAAATATTACCTTCAAGAGAAATGACATAATACTTCCTTGCACATAATTCTCCATGCACAAGAAAAGAAAACAACACTATTACAGGGTGGTAGGGCCATTTGCTTTTTAGATCTCGTTCTGTTAAAAGGAAAAGTTAGCTAAGCGGCTAGGATTTCAACCTTATGAACGGGACACAGAAGAGATAACAAAAATTACCTTACATCACTAGAGTACTTACTTCATGAAATCCATGCGCTGTCAGAATGCTACGCACCAAACGACTATCTGTCCGCACAATCTTATAGGACAAATGGTACCGTTCTTAAGGAAATAAAAAAGGTATGTTACAAAGAAGTTAATAATAGAGATAAAAGCAAACTGTAAGATCTTTAATCTAGATAAAGCTCAACAAAGTTATACCAGATATCTTTATGTCAAGGAGTATTACAATTAGGTGAAGGCTGTATAAGAAATTTCCATGTTTCACCTAGGTAGCTAGGTGGTACAATGGACAGAGCACTAGGCCTGGATTCAGGAAAACCTGAGTTTAAATCTAGTCTCAAACACTTACCAGCTGTGTGATCCTTAACAAGGCACTTACTTAATTTCTGTCTGCCTCAGTTTTCTCAACTATAAAAAGGAGATAATAATAGCACTTACCTCCCAGGGTTGTTGTCAGGATTAAATGAGATATTTGCAAAGTGCTCAGCACAGTGCCTTATGCATAATAAATGTTTAATAAAAACCTGTTTCCTTCCTTCGCAAAAGGATAAACCCAGGAAAATACTGATAACAGTGGCTACCTAGAACCAATAACATGTGACAAAATCTATTATTATATGAAAACCTCATGCATTCTCAATTGCAACAGCCTCCTCATTTGATGTTCCTGATTCCAGTCTCACCCTTCCAATCCATCATCTACACAATGAATATTCCTAAAACATAATGCTGGCCATTTAAATTCCCTATTCCAAAAATCTTCAGTGACTCTCCCAGTGTTGATTGCATCAAGTTCTGAGACAGTGAAGAGCCTCCTGGAAGAGCTTTATAATCACTCAAAAGAGTGTGGCTTATCCATCCACAATGGAAAGACCAAATAGAAAAAGCATGTCTATTGCCCAGATTTCAACATCAGTTGCATCTGAATCTCCTATAAAATTTTTCCAACAACAGGTAGATCTGGGACAGACAGTACAATGAGCTAGGCCCAGTGTTGAAAAGGAGGCTAACAGGCTGGACTGCTTTCAGAAAACTGCCAAGCACTTTTACCCACTCCAAAGCTTCCCATAGCAGCAAAGATTCACATTTTCAATAAAAATGCTTTACAAGGGTTTTTTTTTTATTGTAATGATATCTAGAACATCAATGCACTAAATGTAAGAATCACACAGAGGGCCATGGAATAGTACATGATGGTTGTGAAATATGTAACCAATAAAGAGCTAAAAAGAAGAATAGGAGTAAAGGGTGTCATCAAGGAATTATTTAACAGAAAAGAAAAAGAAAGATGGGCTGGTCTGATGAATAGTTAGAGGGTTCTCCTGGTACCCACTTATAACGTCAGGAGGAAGGCCTCCATGCATGTTGGATAGACCCTGTAGTAAACCTGCTGGAGGGCATGGTCCATAGGATGGGCAGGGACATCTGCCAACTGGAAAATATCTCACAAGGCTGTGATCTACACTGTTGGTGGGAACACCTGAATGAATAGGATCATAGATACAAGCACAGGATACGATGCCTTCCTAGTGGGTCTTCACTCAAGTCTCTGATAAAAACACTGAACAGGAGAGGGTTGATGACAGTGTTATGAGATACTACTAAAGACGTCTCTCTAGGTAAAAATCAATCTTTTAACAAATAATCTTTAGATCCAGTCTTTCAGCCAGTTATACATTTCAAGAAAGCTCTCTAATGGAGTACTTCAAGACTCTGGCTTTGGCCTTGTTCTGATGAAATTTTTATTAATGCCTTAAAGACATAAAGACATCTATACTAAATTCTCAAAAGTCACAAAGCAAGTAGGGATAGTAATACAATGAAAAACAGAATCAGGATACGAAAAGATATTACTGACAGCCTGAAACAACAGACCTAATTTAATAAAATGAAACTTGAAAGGAATAAATATAAAGTCCTGCAGTTGGTTTCAAAAAATCAACTGCATAAGCATAGGATGGATAAGGGTAGAGCTGTGAATTCTGGTTGCCTGAATGCTTAATATGAGTCAACTGTATGATACAGAACAAAAGTATAGTGTACATGGCAAAAAAAAGTGAAAGTCCTACTATATTCTGCTTTTTTAGATAACATCTGGAATACTATACCCAATTATGGGTATCACATTTTAGGAATAACATTAACAAGTTGGACCTAAACCAGAAGAGGTTAAATAGAATAGTGAAAGAACTAGAAATCATGTCAAAAGAAACTTCACTGAAGGACCTAGGGATGGTTAGTCTGAAGAAGAAATTACTTAGGTGACAGGATAGCTATCTTCCAGCATCGAGTTTTCATACATAAAAAAGGCTACATTTATTCTAGTTGTGGCACAAAGAAGAACTTAGATAAATGAGTGGAAGCTATAGGAACTTAAGGAGCAAATAAAGGTATGTAAAAGTAGAATGGGGCTACCTCCAAAAGGCACTGAGGTCTTCAAAAAAAAAAAACAACACAAAAAACCTGGTGATTGATGATCACCCATTGGGGAAATATAGAAGGAATTTAGGCTTTGGTTTGGACTACATGATCCCTGAGGTCCATTCTAATTCTAAGATCCTATGATTTTATTAAATTAATGTAGAGGTTTTAAGTAGTCTATAATAGAGGGGATGATTCTGTTGAAGGAAGTGGGTCTGTTGGTTTAAAGGAAATACAATTGTACAGTTGAAAAAGTACTGATTGGGGGCAGCTAGGTGGCGTAGTGGATAAAGCACTGGCCCTGGAGTCAGGAGGACCTCAGTTCAAATCCGATCTCAGACCAGATTCTTGGCATTGACACTAGGTGTGTGACCCTGGGCAAGTCACTTACCCCTAACTGCCTCACCAAAAAAAAAAAAAAAGAAAAAGTACTGATATAGGGATCAGAAGGCCTGGGTTTAATAAGTCTTGGCTCAGCTACTATCTAGTTGTGTAATCTTAGGTGAGTCCCTTCACTTTTCTCTGGAATCCAGAATCTTCATGAACAAAACAAGCAGGGTGGACTAGATTTCAATTCAACAAGAAACACTTATTAAGCATCTGTGCTTAATATGCATAAGACACTGTGCTAATCATTAGAGAAGCCAAGACAAAAATGGACCGTCTGGCTCCGAAGGACTTTACATTCTACTGGAGATATAGAACATATAATAGATAATATAGGGGGCCTCTTGTAGAGGTGGCACCTGAGCTAAGGTTTGAAGAAGACAAGAATTCTGAGTAGAAGACGGAAAAAGGAGGCTATTTCAGACATGAGGACAGGGCTGGGGGAACAGGAAGGTCATCTCTAGTATGCCATGGTGCCTAGAACATGGAGTTTGTGGGGAAGCAAATATGAAATAAAACTGGACAGGTAAGTAGAAACCAGGTTATGGAGGTTCTTAAATGCAGTCTGTGGGGCTTTAATTTTATCCTAAAGGCAAATGGGAACCACTGACAGCTTGTGAACGTAAGAGTGACATGGTTAGACCTGTGCCATATGACGGCCATTTATAGTAGCTGTGTGGAAGGATTGAAGACGGGAGATAACAGAAGCAGGGAACCCAAGAAGCTGTTACGATAGCCTAGGCAAGAGATGATGAAGGCCTGAACTAAAATGGTGGCCTAGTATATAGGAAAAAAAAAAAGAGCTGATGCTATAAAATTGGATTGAGTATAAAGAGGAGAGAGAGACCAGGGGCCTTCCATCTGGCTGCACTCTTTCTATCTTGGACATTTCCTACCTGATTGCTAGCCTCTGGCAGGAGTATGAAAAAGAGGCCAGGAGGCATACCTTCCATCTTGCAGCACCATGACCTCCAGAAGGAGTGTAAAGAGGAATGGCAGGGGGCCTTCCATCTGGCTGTACACATCTCCTGCCTGATCTCCAGGCTCCCCTGGGATTCTAAACTGGATTCTTTACATCATATCTATGCATTTCTTGCTTGGCCTCCAGCCTCCTCAGGGAAGAGGAGAAGAGCCATTCCATCTAATCAGTCTCTCCCTGCTGAGGTGTTGGGAGAGGGTGCCACTCCCTCATGTTTCCAGCCTAGTCTTCTGCTATGGGTTGCTCTTGCAACACCACTCTCATCCCAAGTTTTTCCAGCTAGCCTAAACTGCCTCAGATTCTGAAAGGACTCCACCCTTAGGTCACAATACAATTGACTTTGAAAATCTCTTTAAATTTTTCAAGGAATGCTTAACAAACTCCCACATGGTCTTGCCCTCCACACACCAGTGATTCGGAACCCTTAGAGATCATCATGCAAATCCTATTCCCCAATATCCAATACCATGTCACCATGCCCTCAAATCTACTCACCCCAAAAGTTGCAAGCATTGTGCCCTCCAGAATGCCTGTTCCATAGGCAACAAAGTCAGTTTCATTTCACATCTTTTCCTTTCTCACGCTTTCTGTTTTGGGGCTTGCGTTGAGACCTAGGCTCAGTTGGTTCCTTGGTCATTCTGTTCAGCACTGGCTGTATTCATTGATTGAGATGGGGGAGTCAGAATACTCCTTGCTCCTCATTACCACTTCCAAGTTCTCCTCCTACTACCATTACTCAATAACCTCACCTCCTTTGAGGTCTATACAATCTACATGTACCACCCAACAAAATGCTGGTAGCTGCTCTCTACAATCCTTAAGGACACTTCCTTTCCATCCTTCCTTAGTGAGTTCAGTACCTGGTTAACAATCTCTCTCCTCCTCAATTCCTGGTCTCATACATCAATACCTATATTAATACTCCCTCAAATACCTTTACCTCCCAGTTACTCAGCCTGCTCATTTCTAATGCCTTTCACCTTCACATAACCTCAGTTACACTCAGAGATAGTCATACATTTAATGATCTTATCATCACCTACAAACACACAATCTTCATGTTCAGGAACTCTCAAATTCCCTTGTCTGATCACAATCTATTGGCTTTCCAACTCTCTTCCTCTTCCTTCTAATACCAAACTCTGCTCTTTTCCACACCCTGACTTCCAATTTCTCAATTTCTCAGTTCTCTCTGAGGCCATCAACCTTGCACTAGCCATATTCTCCTCCTTTCCCCATCCTGACGTCTGGGTGAACCAATTCAACTCAATACCATCCTCTTCTCTTGAGATGTTAAATCCCTTATATTGCC